CCCCAAAACCCCAAAACCCCAAAACCCCAAAACCCCAAAACCCCAAAACCCCAAAAATGTCTGTTAGGATAAATTAATTTTTTAACAATCAAAAAATGTTGTTTGACCCCAAAAAGTTAACTGTATTCACACTAGGGATGCTCTTGATGTCCCTGTTCTGCATGCCTGTAATGGGACAGAAGTGTACCTGCCAAGAAACCGGGAAAGAGTACCTAGCCCAGAGAGAAGTTGGGGATGGCTTCCATAGTATAAACCTTCACCTATATGAAGACATTGATCAGACAGGTGACGAACTTAAAGTCACCCTTGCTGATGAAGTTGATAGGATTGTGGTAGTTGTATGGTACAATAACTTGTATGGTAAATGGACCCAAAATAGGATAAACCAAGAAACTAGAGGTACTCTGATGAGTATTCTCAAGAATAATCATCCTAACGTAATTTATCACGAAGCTGACATATCAACTTACAACAGAAACGCTTATACATATGAGGAATTAGCAGATGAGCTTGGTATTATTCTCAGCGACTTGCAATACGGCCCAACAGTTGTTGTCATGTATGATCAAAGAGGCTCTGCTCTCAGATCTGAGAAAGGATCTCTCTCCCTTGTCTCTGCAGTGGATAAAGAAATCCACCGATTCGAGCTCGAAGATTTTGGATCCACTAACAAAGTTTGTGATGTAGATTACGAAATTGAAGCTATGAATCAGTTTAAGATGTATGCTCCTTGGGATAACTATGATTCATATCAACCTGATAGCGATGAGATAGGTCATGACAGACATATACAGAAGAATACTGCTGCTAAAGGCATCAATAAAGACAGCTATCATGATCGCATTCAAGATCATTCATGGTAAGTCTCACTCATAGGCATTCTTTGGGGGTACTTCAGCACATAAATGTCTTAAAACATTAAAACTCCAAACATATATATTTACATATTAAAGAACCGCATATGTTTTGTCAAGTAAGAGATTGCTTACTGTATCACATTTCTCTCAAAATTAAAGATGTGGACCAGATACTAAATCTAGCTTGTCAGCAAAATTACTTTAAATATCTCTTATTTGAGGAGAAGTTAATTTATTCCAAGAAATTTATACATGAAATCTCAAAAACTTCAGAGAGGTCATAAGTAGGATTTTCATTGATGAAGCCAAGCCTTCTTGACACACTTAAAATTATTTTTTTGATATTCATACCACGACCATTGATTATTTTTGAGTTCTATAAAATACTTTAACCTTTTATGTTGGAAGCTATGCTCTTCAGCAAACATTTGTAAGAGCCTTGAACTAATACTAAAACTTGTTTGAATAAATCTAATTGCATCTTCCTATAGGGTTGAACCAAAACCTCCAACCACAAAGAAGTATGTACTAAAAGAGCCTGATAAGTCATTTTCTGACTACACGAGAAGGAGAAGAAGATAAATTACATAAAAATTTTGGGAAAGTGAATGTCTAAAGTGTTTGCAGACATCAATCCCTAATTACTTAAAATTGCTTTACATACTGTTTCTTGGTCAAAATTTAGGTGAATTTTTATTTTCCCTAACATGAAAGCTTTTCGCATTTCTTGACTGTTTAATTTAGTTTATTGGCAACAAATATATTAACTTATTTTCACCTTTTAATCTCTAAAATGGGGTTTTGGGGTTTTGGGGTTTTGGGG